AGAGCCAAAATGCTTACTACCCGTTTCGACATTTTGACTACACAATTACATTAGTCCTTAGAAGTAGCAAACATACATAGCTAAAACCAACCATCATCAGCATTCCCATACCGATGATCAACAAACCGAAAGTGAAAGATTGCTGATCCAAAAGAGATTGTCGGATACTTGTAGCAATCATCATTCACTTGTTCTACACAACAATGGAAATATAAAAAAGAGTAACAAATACCTCTCTTTTTCTTTTTTTTTTCGTAGGTTGATCTCTCTCAAGATGAGCAATGTGGACAACGTATCAATCCATTCTCATTGCAATCAGGGCATCTCTTGAGCCTATCTTCATCCTCATCAAACAGTTTCTTGCTCCCACTACAATTCGAACATGGAAGGAATCTAACATCCCCACAACAACGACACACAAACCCTGGCTCTCTCACCGGAAACTCTTTGAGAATCTTAGCAAGCTCGCCAATCTCGAACAAACTCTTGATCACATCAGCACCACCCACATACTTCCCCATAATGAATATCTGAGGCAAAGCCACAGACTTTTCACCCATTGCAATCTGCAACTCTTTCCTATAAGCTGAATCCATCGAAACATCACGTTCGTCTATCCAAACCCGAAACCCTCTAAATATCATTCTCACTGCATAACAATCCTCATAAGTCCTCCTAATCCCTCTCAAGCTAGTAAAATACACCACAATCCTATCTTCAGTCCCCGGAAGACGAATCACCGAGTTGTTTAAGCTCAAAAACGGCGATATTCGAGATTCGGATAAAAGCGATTTCCCTGATTTCGCCTTTTGAAGAGGACTATCATTCGTGGTTGGTTTCGCCGATTTCGAACCTTCGAATAATCTACAAAGGTTCTTAACTTTTCCTTTAACAGAACTTCCCATTGATTCAACAGGATTGTAGAATTTGGTAATGGAGGTTGTACGATTGAGAGAAGGATTGAGAATGTGAGATTTGGGGCTCGATTCAACTGTCCTCCCGTGAATTGTGAGTGACCTGTTGAACAAAGTCGACGACGATTTCGTCTTCCCGGAGAATTCAGCGTTTTTCTCCAATCCGGCCATTGAACCCAGATCACAAAACACCTTTTTTGGGATACAAATCGAAAACCTATCGATCAAATTCAACACAAATCGACGAATATAAAGAGAAATCGAAAGAAAAACAACGATCGCCTCACCGATTGATTCAATCCTCAAGGAAGAAATGGAATTTAGTATTAACGAATTGAGAAAAAAAAAAACAAAGAATCAGCTTCTCTGATTTGAGCTCGTGAACGATCGGCACTCTGATTTTCCAGCTGATGAATCGATGAAATTGAATAATCTGATTCTGGAAATTTCCCCTTTTTTGTTTTTGTTTGGTTTTTGGTTCTTGCGGAGGAGAGAAGATGTGGAGGAGAGCTCCGAATTTTAGCCTTTCTGTCTTTGTTGTTACGCAAAGAA